TCTCCGTTGTTCATTTTGTTCCTCATTGATGTAGCCTGCAGAGTCAAGGAGTGCTCTGTCTTGTACAAAGCCAACTGGTTTATTGCTCTGGCAGTCATCAATTCTGCAATGAACCCCATCATCTATACTTTGGCCAGTAAGGAAATGCGTCGGGCTTTCTTTCGCCTTGTTTGTGGTTGCCTGGTGAAATCCAGGGTAGCCAGATCTTTGCCTATTCAGCCCACGCCAGATCACAGTCGAAGTAAATCCAGCAGCAGCAATACCCAGAAGCCAAAGGAAGATTTCCCTCAGATGAGCATTCCCTCGTGTGTCATCGAGAAGCGTGAATCTTCATTTCACAATGGAAACTTCTGTAAGTAAGGGACTCTTCAAATCAAGGACCTTTCTGTGGCTTAGAATTAAACTACAAGTGTAGTTTAAGTATTCATGCACTTAAATCATAGGGGAAAACACTAACCACTTATTTAACTTTGAGGACTTAATTATCAACAATCATTTGCTTTGTGTGTTCTTTCAGTAACACACCTGATTCAGAGAAGCTTTCCGTGCTACCCAACAGCCAGTACAGAGTCCATGTACATCTATTGACATTGTGCACCATGATGGCATTGCATGATGAGGTTGCATTTGGCACCACCTGATCCTGCAAGACATCAAGAAAACCTGTTAACATTCACTAAATACTCATCTAATAGACATAACTTCAGCACTCACTAAACACTGCTGATAATCAGAAAATGAGCCTGATTATTGCCGACTGGGAGAAAAGCTCATTACATCTATTGGGGATTATAGTTCTGTATATGTATCTTGCTGTTATGTTAATGGCCTTACTTGTATGTGGTATAAATAGCTGTATATTTGTACAATTCCATATTAAAAAGTCAATGTTTGGTTAGAGTTTACAATATTTTAAACATTGTATTGTAGTATAGAGTGTAAGGTGACAAATTATTCAAAAATATAGATGTGTTTTGAAGGGGATTTTTAAAATACATGAAGTAGTAGCTTTAAACTGACAGGAACTTTAACATGCCATATCAATGCAGTACATTTGTTTTTTCCACTGTTAGTCAAACTTTTAATGTTTAGTGAAAGACAAAATGATAGTTGTCACTGTGACATTTCACAACTTTAAAAAAAAACACAATAGTAAATAGCCATTAAATGAGGTTATAGATGTTTTCTATTTAAAGTAGGTAAAATGTGACCCATCAATAAATATATCAAGGGTATGTACTATTTCAATGCATATATTTTTACTTACTGTTTTCAATGTATTTAAAAATGTATGTCAAACCTATGTAAACCTGTGTACATTGTGAATGCACTACCTAAGCTGAGATTCTTCAGTTCTGAAGCAGAGACGTATCATTTCAGAAAGCAATGAACCACAACCTGGTCCTTGTGGAGTTCCTCGTTTTCCCTCCAGGCACTACCACAGCATGGGATTGTGTTATAGCTTCTCCCTGGGAAGAAGCCCAGCCAGTAGGACAAAATCCTTTTTTTCTGGCAATGGGACCTTTTGCTTTTACCGTCTCTGAGCACTTTTGCAGATACAAGAGGAAAGATGCGGTACAGCAGGGTCATGCTGAAGGGTTTATCTCCATTTATACCTGACCCTGCCTTGGATATGGAATGATCTATTCCGTTTGGATGATCTTTCAACTTTTCTGGAGCCCCAGAATCATTCTTTTGAGGGGCTGTTCCACAGAAACCTGTACAAAAAAAGGTTTACCAGTCTCAGTACAGGATGCTGTTCAGCATCAGGGGGGGTCCCTAAGACCTAGAGTAATTAAGACTTCATAAACATCTGAGTGTAAGTCTCCATGGAAGTGGCCCATGGTACTTCCATCAGTACTAGTTCTTTACAGCTGGAGTCTTCAGTGTAGGTTTTCCCTTCACTGGAAGGGAAATTCTCAGATTAGTTCTCGATGTAAACATCTAACTTTCTTGGGCTCCTTTGAAGATTTCTGCTTAATGCCTCAAACCACAGTTTGCCTTAAGCATAATCAGAAGAAGTTGAGCCTTTTTAATTAACAACTTGTAGGAGCTCATCCGTGGCTTTACTCCTGTCTTAATCATTTAAACAGCAGCATTAAGACTCTTTCAAAGTACGTACAGTGTGTAAGTGGTGTAATGTGTGTAGCAAAAGCCTTTAAAATGTAGAGGTTTGAATTGTGATTATCTTCTTACAAGCTAGCAGTCTACTTGTAAGTGTTTTATGCTGTTAGAAAACAGTAAGAACAACGAAGAATATGAAATGAATTTGAATGAAATAACTGTGAAAGAGAGTAGAAAATGAATAACTTCTACCAAAAATGTTGAAAAGAAGTGCATATAGAGAAAGAACAAACTAAACTAAGCTAAGCATGAACAGGAGCATGAACTGCAGATACAGGCTAGGTCAGCAGCTCTGTAGCTTTGTTAGAAATAAAACTGACAACATTGCATTGTTGTGGCTTAGGTTTTTAGATGTTACAGTGCTATTCGTCTGTATTTTCAGTCTTGAAGGTCTGCCTTGAAGTTATGTCTTTGAAAACTGCCTGCTAAAATGTTTGTGTGCTTCTAAACGTTATCTCATGAGGTGATGGCACTTGGCAGCATTCCTTGCTATTTCTAGAGGAGATAGGCCTAGGCAGGACAACTGTTTGAGAAAACATTGTGGCTGAATCCACACCAACTCTCACATTGTGTTGTGATGTTACATGATTCTCCGTATTTAGGTGAAAAGTAAAAAATGAGTATTTGTAGTGGCCAAAGTCTAGGAACATGCCTGTAAAAGTGAATTTTAACATCTGGATGCTAGCCTTAGCTATTTGTTAGAGTTAATGCAAGGTACAAGCAATGCAAACAACTGATTGAGGCCATGTGATTGAGTGTCAATAAAAAAATATATATATATTAAAAAATCACTCTACTTTGTTATGTCTCTTATTTTTTTGATCTGGATGTTGTTTCTGTTGTTTTATTCTTATTTTGTTTTATTTTTGTTTGTTTGTTTGTTTTTGTTTGTTTGTTCTTTGCTAGTTCACTACCCTGCCATACTTTAAGCAGATTCCTAATACACATGGGTTCATGTTAAACACTGATAATATATCTAAAGAGATTTTTTTTCCTGTGGGTACATCCCACTTGGATGTATTAGGTAAAACACAGGTTTGGGAAGGTTTCAGAGAAAAATTTTAGAGTAGATTAAATTGAGGGCATCATAGTTCTGGATCATAACCAACCAGGAAGATTCCTTATCCTTGAAAATGTAAAAAGATAGAGGATAAGCTTCGTTTCCCCTAAAATTTCAGAAAATTCCTTAAAATGCTGCCCAGAATCCAAGCTTTTTATTATCTAGGCTGATTTAAGCATGCTAGAAATCTGAATCAGATCTCCCATTCATAATGGATTCTACATGGAGCAAAAACCATAAAGCAGAGTCACTTTTCATTCATATTATTTCACGAATTAGAATATTTATTTTGGTTCTGTATTACAAAAGAAATGCAAATCCAACCACCTAAGGAGAATAAAATTTTTCATGAGGAGCTTTCACCAGAGTCTTTTATTGCTGACAGTCTTACAGAGCATTTTCAACTCATTAGGTACCCTAAACTTTTAGAAAACATATATTTAAATCTCAGACCTTTGAACTGAAGTTGTCATGTAGCAGTCATCTTTTAAAGGAGCATAAAAAGGGGTTGGCCTTCCATAGAAAGCATAGATTTAAATTCTAGGTGCTGTGCCTGAAAGCACTATCTGTGAGAACAGTGTCGGCTGTGGCTCTGCTGCCCCTGGAGATAGAGGAAGGTTCTGCCTCTTCTTCTGGGAGCAGACTCGGACCCTGGGCTTGCCCACTCAAAGCGCTCACCATGCTGGCCACAGCGGTTCCATAGAAAAGGCACATTTTACAATAAGTGACTGTAAGTAGGGGTTGCCTTAAGCATTTGTTATTTCCAACTGCTTTAGTGAAGAACACCTGGGTGTAATGTGCCAGGTGCCAAAAAGCTAGGAGCCTGAGGGCAGCCGATCTGCCCCTGCCCAGCTCTGCTTTGCTGGCATCAACCTGGCTTAATGCCATTTAACCCAGCATTTCCAACAATATATTTAGATAGATTGGCCCCTTAACCATGCTGGGAGCTGTGGACACAGTGACCACTTTGGGCCTGAAGGCCATCCCTTCTCATAACAAAACTCATGGGACAAGCACAACAGCAGTGATGGGGGGTTCTGCTTGGCCACTACTGATGCATGAGGCTATCTGCAGCCCTGCGTGGGCTGCAGGCACCATGAAGAGGCTTGCTGGCACCCCTGCAGCCTTCAGAGCTACATTTCTTCTCTCCAAGAGTGATGTAACCTCCTGGGGCATCCCCAGGCTCAGCTTTTCTCCAAATGGGTAAGAGGGAAGGACTTTTACATGTATAAAGTGCCACTTTGGCATTGCAGGAAGAGAATTTGAGTACTGTCAACCCAGCTAAGCTTTCTTCAGAGCAAAAGGCTTTCTCTGCTCCACAGCACACTAAATAGCTGCTCTTGCACGGGCCTTGTCCCTGCTGTCACTCTCCATAGAAAGACCATGGAACTGGCTACCATCACCTGCTCAGTGTGCCAAGCAGGAAAGCTACCTTTTCAAGTTAGCACATCATCTGCCCCAAATGTGTGGGCCTGTATGATTAATTATGTGTATCTTGAAAATGTTATTTGGCAAAATGGAAAAATGGAAGTCAAAGGTGCCTCTGTCAAAGTAAATAAAGCTGATCTACTGTACAGTTAGTGTAACCGAGGTCAACCCTCTCACGTGTTACCTCATCCTCTGACATTTTTGGTCTGTTTCTACTGAGGGGAGTAGTTCATTGGCTTAATAATATTTAATATCCAAGTAAATCCTGCAGATTTTATTTTTTTCTGCTACAAAACAGGTGTGTCTTCAGTTAAAAACAGTAAACAAACAAACAAACAAATAGGGAACCTGGGCATAGGAGAACAGACTCAGTCCCACTTTAGATACATTTAGAGTTGATAGCAGTGCTCATTATTTTATTACTTTGGTTAATCACATACAAACTGAATAATCAGAAAACAGCTGCATGACACATATTCCAAATTCTGTTGCTCAAAGACTTTCTCAGAGACAAAATTTGCCTCTATAACCAGAATATCACAATCAGCAGACAAGCAAAAACTTGAGATTCACAAAAGTTTGGGGGAATATAAATGATCACAATATTTCCACATACATTATTTTTCCTGCAATTCTCAATTAAAAATATTTCTAAAAGTAATAAATATTAATAAATATCAAATGTACAGTCAGACTCCCTTTTACAGTAAAATAGCCACTTTTTTGTTGTTGTTGCTGTCCACACATTGCGAAGAAAAACATTTAACTCAAAAGAAGAAACCTGGCTTCCTTTGAGGTTTAACTCTGCAGGACTTTACTTAGAAGCAGTTATCACACCAGTCCAGCCACAAAGGACACAAATATATATCTTCTACCAATTATAATCTTTACATCCTTCACTTACGAAAAATTTCACCTTTTCTGAATGAACATTTGCCTGGGTGGTTTTGGTAGTTTTGCCTCACTGAAGAAAAAGGAGGCCTGCTGGAGAAAGCTGTCTTTATCCTTTATGTTATTTGACCTTCACGATAACTACATGAACTGTAATTGCGCATCTTAATCTCAAAATTTGAGGCTACCTTCATTAGTTGAGTCATCCTTCCTGGCTCCCTCAAAGTGGGGTAGCAGAATGAGTCACCTAGCTTTTATTTCCTTATTCTTTTGGTTGTCACAGCTTGTTCTTGTGTCAAACAAGGTTTAAGCACCCTTTACTTAGCTTTTCCTTTATACAATGCTTTTTCTAAAAATATGTAGCTCGGTAGCTCTATCTCCCTTACTGAGATTAAAATAATAATAATAATAATAAAATAATGCTGCCTGTTCTCAGTGGAAGCCATACATGATGCTCATGTTGGAGGATGCAGATGAACAAGAGACGAATCTTAGGCATTGTACAAGTATTTTGCAATTCTCTTCCTCAAGGTTCTGCTTAACCCTATCAGACAATTAGCATGTTTTTAATTTGGCGGCAGCTTTCTTTTCTCATTAGTGGCTCATATGCCTATTGGCTTACGTTTCCAGACCTCACACTTCTTAACCCTGGGGTTTTCTCTCCCAAGGCAGCTTTTCACCTTTTGGCTTTTCCAAGTCTCTTTAACTGCAGACAAGTTTTTTGTGATACTTCTCCACAGGCCTGCACATGTTCCAGCTGCACCCAATGCTGATGAGATCAAGGTGAGACACTGAGTGAGGGGGTAGAATAAGTGACTGAGCACAGAGCATTGAGTAAGATTTTTTCCATATCTTGACAGCTTTGAGCCAGTATAGGTTTGTGGAGGGTGCAATCATAGTTTTGCTGAAAAAAGGCGGTGCAGATCAACATATTTTTGACAGTAACTACAATGAAACAATTTAGATTTTATACAGACATACTTTGAAAATGTCTGGACGACAAAAAGAGAAGTGTATGTATTACATCAGCTCAGACTTAATGCAAATATGGTTTACAATAAAAATTCTTGGATCTACCATTTCATACAGTTTTCAAATGCAGCATTTACTACTTACAAATTTCTAAATATGCATAAGTTCTATAATGAATACTGTATCTGGGACTTGATATGTCAGCAACAATTGCACTGTGGTATAAATTTTATAAATTCTCCTCCTCTTACTGCACAACGTGGTTCTTGGGAACAAAGATAGTAACAGTTTATTATGTGAAGGAGAAGAGGGATGCCAGGATATCAAAAAGGTGACATTTACCAGGCCATTAACAAACTTTTTCTTTACATGACAGCACACATTTTGCAACCAAATCCCAGTCCTAGGCCTATGTCCTTTGTCATCTGCTTTTTGTTGAACAAATACAGTACAACAGAGAGGTATCTGATATAACTAGCATCAGCTCCCATTGGGAATCCTGTAGGATTTGAAGTGAAGGGAAGCTTCAGTTTAACATTTTACCCTCACCTCATGTGCAAAGCCCTGAGCAGAGAGGCCATGGAGATTGCATCTCCTCCTGCACCTAGGCATAGCCAACTTGAACATCCTTCTCTTTTGTTCAGGAAGGGAGCCTGGAAGTCTTCACAGTGTGCAAATGCCCATTGAAACCAGAAGGTAATTCTGTTTTCAACTCGCAATTTCTACTTTTGGAGTTTCATTGGTTGTGAAGCATCTGAAACAACTAAAACTTTGGGAACATGACTATACCTCAGCTCTCAAATCTATCACTTTCAGCTTCAGCATTATGAAATTGTTATTATCCTAACAATTAATATAGAACTTTAATAAAATCAATCAGAAGCATTTGTTTTACTTCTAACAGTCTTGTTTAAAGGAATCTAATGAATTTTCATTAGCCATAGTTCATATAGTTGCAATACAACTGGAATCAAAACAGATAATCAGATTTACTGATAATAGTTTCAATTCTGACTTCTCAGCTATTCCCTGGGAAAATATAAAAGGATAACTGAATATTGTATAATCTCAGTGATTTCTAGTGAGTGTAGTAAATTTGTTCTTTCAGTTAAATCCCGGCTCTTTGAGTCATCATACTGAATGATCACTAGATTTTTAAAACCAGTAAATGTATAGCCCTTGAGACAGCATAAAAGAGAAGAAAACCAAAAGGCAAGGAGACTCAAAGCCAAAGGCAAATATTAAACAACTCAAATTATTATGCAGTCAACTGTACAGTTTTCAGCCAATCACACAACATTGGTCCCATAGCTTTATGTCTCTTAAATTGCTAGCAGTGTTGGCTCCTCACAGAAATGAGGAGAAATGACTTTCTAACAGGTTCAGTTCTCTCTTGCTGAGCTCAATGTAAAATGTCTCTTTCACTCTAATGACAACAGTAGTGGACCTGCTAATGAAATGGCTATACAGTTTTTATACCATTCTCATAAGGTGGAAAGCCAAATCTATGAGAATGACAATTACAAAAAGTAGGATCTGCCAAAGGAGCATTAATTTGCCCATATGCTTGCTCTTCCTTGTTGGTTGGTTCAAGATCATTTGGTTTCAGTGACTTAGAAAAGGCTCTGGACCTTTGTATGTGGCCAGACAGGATCTCCCAGGCCATTATGGCAGTGGAGTATTGTTGCAGCCCAAATGTTGAAGCCCAAACCACCACCAAAGACCAAAGTACATATTATCTAGCTGCCTGTAACCATTGCGTTATCAGTGGATAAGCTCGGTAGTGGGATGTGCTGGAAGAGAAGCTTAAAACAAACACATTTTCTTGAAGGCAGAGTTTGTGAAATGTAGTTTGGGGAACAGCTACTGATGTTTCTGGCAAGCTTTATCAAGTCTCCTTACCATCAACTTTAATTTCCAAATTATGCAGCTATTTGGCTGCTAAACTATTAAAGCTAGAGCTGGGGTAATGGTTAAAAAAGAAAAAAAAAAAAAAAAGAAAAAAAAGAAAAAAAAAAGGAAAAAAAAAGGAAAAAAAAGTATCTGCTTATTTCAGTGGATGTTTTGTGCCTTCATTCATACATCTGTATCTTGCCATATTTTTCCCAGCATGCACTGGCAGGATACTTAAGAATCCAAGACAGAGATAGGCAGCAGGTGGGATTTTTGAAGGCAGGTTAAGAAGTTAGGCACCTGACTATTGCGGAAGTGATACACAATCATATTTGAAGTACAAAAGAGGCCTTTTGTTACAGTTATTGATATCATACTAAAAACATTCCAGGACATGTCTGTAGGAAAGTGGGAGACCGGAATGACAAGTGTTACATACGATGAAAAAGGAGACAACAAAGATACTTCAATGGGCAATATGGTAAGAACAGATACTCTTAAAAAAAATCAGTCTGATTGGTACTACTTTGGCTATAAGATCTTTTCACTTTCCTTGCAAATTCCAACTTGGTAAAAGGAAAAAACATATTTTAAGAATTAAATATTTGAAGACTTTAAGTGTCATGGTAATTTGCAAAGCAGTATTTACTTTCTTTCCTTTCCTTTCAGCTCACATCCAGACCTAGAAACATCAGATAATAACTATCTGCAACAAAATGAATCAGAAGCATTTGGTTCACTAAATGTCTTCATTTGGTTTCAGAATGTTTTGATTACATAATCAAATGTATTTTTATTTCATGGGTCACATGATAGTCTTAGGTACCTTAATAATTTTAGTTCTTGAGAACAACCAAAATAAAAGTCTTTCAAAGTTGCAATTTGACCATATTTCAAAGCATGAGGTACAAGAAATAGGTACAAGATTTTCCTTTTTTTCTTTTTTTTTTTTTTTTCTCACTTACGTAGTGATTCTATCTGAATGAATTCTAAGTGAATCCTTCAAGCAGTTTGGTCTTAATTAAAAAAATTCTTAAACTTAAAAAAAAAATCTTAAAAACAAATCTAACTGACTACTTGAGGACAGGCAGGTGTTTAACCTAGACTTAGCCTGCCAACTTTTGGCCACTGTAAATCAAGTCTGATGATTTGATTTGAGATGCTTCTGCTAGAGAAGACCTTTGAATGCTGACAGCTAAATCATAGCTCTGTCCCAAACTTAGCCATTACAGGAACAGTGTCTATTGAATTTGTCTTGATAATTTTACATAAATAAGAACTAAGGCTCATAAAACATGAAAAAAAATTAATATAGTACTTTTGTTTGAACAGTACAGACCTTCACTAAAACAATTCCCAATACCAAAAGACAAAGAAACATCTGTCAGAAACGCATCTTTAGTGTATATTTCTAACTTCATATTTAGATAAAAGCTGTATATTTGCAATACCTATCTCTTGCTGAAGGTCAAAATCAAGTTATACTTTGGGAAGAGGCACCTAATAACTAGATAAATGCAAATGACACCATTTGCAAAACTGATCACTGAGTCATAATAGTTTTCACTATCCATAAGACTAAAAGATTTTTCAGATATGTCTTTAACCAGCCACAGAAGTCTTGCATTAAATTTACTAATTACAAGTTATTGAAACTGCCTAATCAGTATATAACATTTCACTGGAAACTGATAGTCAAGGACACCTAGATCTTCACCATAACCAGAGAACTATTTATAAATAATCTTACCATTCAAATTAACAAATTGAAGTTGCAGAATATTGTTGTATTATCATTAGAAAAATCAAATGCATACACCTTTTACACAGCGAGATCACACCAAATCATTGTTAAAGCAAGATACAAATGCTTTGAGTAATATCATATAGGAATTCAGACTTGACATCAGAAAGAAAATGCTTTTGATATCTATGACACTGAATAACACTTTAAAAAAATCCTTTTATGCTAAATTTCTGAGTTGGAATTCATGTTGCTCAATTCAGTCTCTTTCCAAGGTACTTAAGATACATGTTCCAACTGTAATCCCCATTATTGTGCTTCTTACATAAAATCATAAATAAGATGCCCGATATTTGCTCTCTCAAAAATTGAGACTGCTGTATTCTATTTTTATTTGAACAATCACAATTGGCATTTTTCTTCTGTTAAAAACACATGGCACAGAAGATTAGTTCTATACCATCAACAGACTGACTTGAAAAATATAAATATATACTGTATTTATATATTATGTGTGTGTATATATACACTACCAATATTCACAATTGAGGATCAGAACAATTTTATTTAAATTAATTTTTAAGAAAACCTTCTGTTGTGACTTCAAGTCCACATAAAGCATTGAGAATTTTCAAGTAAACTGTGTGAAATAGAACTTCTTAAACCTAAAGAAAATATACTGGTGAAACATATGGGAATATGGTGTGTGTGTGTGTGTGTTTTTGTTGTTGTTGTTTGCTTTGTGTGTTATTTTTTTTCTTTTCTTTCCATTTTTTTTTTTTATACATGTTTTCAGATCTGCAATTTCCACAAGTTATAACTTGCAAGTTACAAAAACTTGCAAGTTACAAAAACTAAGAGTTATCTGGAGTCAGTGTTTCCTCTCAGCAGGCTGCTGCAAGCAGAGTTCACTCCCAGAAGAAACTATTGGCAAATTATTCTCAAGGTGATGATTGATGAGATGACTTATGCTGTCAAAGACGCGGTCTTTTGTACGAACCTTCAAAAAAAGGATGCAAGAAAACAAGTTAAGGAGCAAAATATTTTTTCCCAAAACTTTGCATCAAAATTCTCTAAAAATAAAAATGTACCATTAATTACGTATTTGAGACAGATCACTCTCTCATCAAAAGCAGTGGAAATCTGGCTGTTTAGTCTCTGTGTGTTTGTCTCTGACTCTCCTTAGTCTCTCCAAACAGATACTCAGCAAGATATCTATGAGCTAGTCTGCTTTCCATACATCATTTTGTTTCACTTTAAGTTCAATTTTTAGACTGGCTTTTCTTTTTTTCTTTTTCAAGAAATTACAGGTTCATTTTAACTACTTTCACCTTTTTATTAAAAAGGGATATCCATCCAGGGATGCCAGAACATCTCTGTGCATTTCAGTATCTTTGTGTTTCCCACAGCAAAGCCTTTCTTCTTGAGATGCCAAAAAAAAACAAACCAAAAAACAAACAAACAAACAAAAAAAAAACCCTCTGGTGTCCACTGGGAAATTCCCTTCCTCTGAAAGTGAACCACCCACCACTTGTGTTTGGCTTGAGTTTGCACAGTGCTGCATGGTACATGTTTGGGCCTTTGAAAGTGAAACACTTTAGGGTAGGGAATGTCATTTTTTTCTAGTCCGTTTACCAGTACTCTGCACTGGAATCCTGCTAAGTGAATTATTACAGCTGCAATAAGAGAAAACTGATATTACAAGGTAAAACAGTCAAAAGTTAGGGCAGGCCAAGACCTAATTAATATTACAAAACATCTTTAATTAACTTAATTTAATCTTTATTATCTTTAATTATATAACCTCATCTTCCCAGAACATTTCCTTCTTATGTTTAAAACAACTTACAGCATACAGCTTCCACATGCAGAGCAAAGTTGTGATAATGTTTTTGTGTTGGGATAGTTCTACAATGTCTCAAGCAAAATGGTATGAACACTGCTCTAAAATGAAGCATGGCATCTATTCTCCTTGAATGTTTCTAAAAAATCATAGAATAGAAAATAGATAATGACATTTGTTAAAACTTTCAAAAAACAGTTTATGCTGCAGTGGGCACCCTGCTTGAAATATTTCAGTCTTCACAATAAAGTTCTGGCAAAATTACGAGAACTTGGGACACAATGTCATAGGAAAAGAAAGTATCAAACAACACCAACAGCACGTTATACTATCTACTGAGTCTGCATTTAGCAGTGTTGCTGAAGAAAACCAGCTGGCTCTCATACTTTCTCAAACATACTACTTTTGAACATTACTTTCTATAATTATTCAAAGCTATATTTTTCAAAACTAAGATATCTTTAAAACATCAAGAACTTTCATTACCTATATTCAAACTAACACATCTTCAGCCCATTCAACTCAGGTGAGAGCTTTCTCACCCTCAGTAGTATGTACCATCATCACCACAGCTCAAGCTTCAATCCTAAACCCAGTAGAAAACCTGCAGTACTAACCTTTACGCATCCCTTATCTAAACTAGAGATCTTTTGTGAGCTGGATTAGAGCAGAAGTGGCAGCACAGTTAACTGCCCTGGAAACACACCTGGAGGAGTTGTAACATGCCACTTGATAATTTGTGTGTGAATTGACTTTCAAGCACTCTTTATGAACCAGTTTTTACAAATAATCACAGAGGCCAGGCAGGAAAAACACATGCCACTGGAGCACTGCTGAGGCTTGCCTCACGCCAGTGTTTTATGAACGACTCTTCTCTCTGACAAGTCACAAACAAGGCTGCTGAGGAGCTGTGGCAGGACCCCACAAATCACACAGACAGCTCAGCTAACCTAAATACAGATATGAAAACACTGTCGTCACTTTTGCCTTCCAAGCCAGCTGAAGCTGCTGCAGAGCAGCAGAAAAACCCAGTGAGCCCTGCTGAGATGGTGAACAGGAACTGTCCCAGGCCTGGGTAAAACCCTGCCAGTGAGAGGAACAGGAGATATCACATCTACTTTTTGGCTTCCAGAGCTCCTGGTGGGACACGTCCACACCTTGTAGCAGCTATTTCTGCATTTATTTTGAAGGGGGAATTATGAGACCTGCAGGGTCACAAGGCAGCTGTCAACATTTTAGAGAAGGAGACTGCTCCCAAAGATGCGTAGGGTCTGGCTTCCTGGCCAAGCCCGGGACCTGGCTGATGGCGCAGAAAAAGTGTTAAAAACATTCTTTGACTGTCCTCGTGTGGTGAAGGTAAGTAAGTAGACCGGCAAGTACTGTGGCCATTGCAGTGTGGTAGTCTGCAGGACCAGCATAATTCTGCTGCTGGTCTTCCTTCTGCAGGCTTCTCAGATAAAATAGATGCTAAACAGCCACCTCCTTCCCAGGAGTTTACTTTCCAGCTTTTAAAGCTGTCCTTTAGAGAGGAAGAGGCGTTACTATCTGTCAGCTACCAGGGGACAAGAATGAAATGTGTGGCAATGCTCTCTCAGGTGAGGCTCAGCTCCCCCAGAAGCACGACAGATGGATGCAAAAACAGGAATTCTTTACATTTGCTGTTCTGTTGCTGGGAGGCTTCATCAGCTAAAGGAGTGCCTGTGCAGCAAACAGATATAGCAATTTTACCCCAATGTGGCACAGTTTTACTCCAGTCGTCTCATGGCCTTAACAGGGGGGAAATATAATGGCTTTGGGGGGCCTGATCTGTGTCCTCACTGACAGAGATCATGTGGAAATTCCCAGCACAAATGCTGGTTGAACTTGCACAGTTGCCAGCAACTTCTCAGCTAGAAGACCGAAAAGGGACTTAGCTACACTTTTGACTAAGTTAATAATGCAGTGGCCAAAGTTTGACATTGATAGGGAACCAGGTCCCTGAGACCTCCTGCAGATGTTATGCGGGAGGTCTTCTGCTATCCCTGAAATGTGCATGTATGCATGCACTATGTCTTCTACTAGGTATCAGGAGAGCATTGGATGTGATGACACCTTACATTAAGCTGTCATTCTGGTCAGTTGTGCCTAAGCTGTAAACAAGTTTAAACATATTCTGAAAAAATACAGAAGTCAGAAAGTGCCTGTATTACTCTGTAATCAGCACTTACGGTTCCTTCTGGATCCACCAAAAGAAGATGCTTGGCTTGTCCATTTTGCATGCCTGTCAGCACATAGGAACCTGGATTTGTGGTACTTTTTCTCACAAGGAAATCTCCACATTTCTTTAACAGCTGTTCTGCGTCTTTCCTGCTCATCTCTCCTTGATACCATGGCTCTGTACTTAGCTCTTCCATTGTAGTCCAGTCAGCAGCTCTGGATAAAAGAGGACTAGTACATTCAACGGAAGTGGATTTATTCAACACAGGCTCAGGCGTCTGGTTCTTAAGGGCATCTTCAAATGGTTCTGGTTATAGAAATAGAAACAAGTGCAAGATAATTAAGAGTTAAATCATGTTGAAAAAAAAAAAAAAAAAAAAAAAAAAAAAAACATACTACAAAGCTACAAAGCTTACTGATCTGTCATGTAGTAAAACATGCATTAAGAGTATAATATGTTAAAAACGTGTGTTATGCACACAAAGACAGTGATAAAAATTAAGAGCGAATATTGGCAGAAACATTTGAAAGGTACTGATTTTATTTCATTAATGGCCATTGTCAACATCTGTATTTGTGTGCTCTGGTACAGTGCAAAGCTTTCTTTTTGCCTTACAGGTTACGTCAGACAGTTTCATTTAAAATAAATTGCATAATATGGGTACCCAAAATCATTATAGTCATATCTGGTCTCTCTTCAAGGAACATATTCATTTATCCATTATCCATTATTATATATTATCCATTATTATATATTCATTATCCATTACTGAGTCTCCAGCCCATGGAAAGGATCTGGAAAGGATCAGTCGCTGTTATTACTCAGCTTACTCCTAACCTCAGCCTAGGAAGAGGACTTTGGGACACAGAGACAGGTTAACACCTTTATTGTGATTTACCTAATTGAAATTAGCCCTTGGGAAGTAATCTTTTAAACTTCAGCTGAATCCTGAACTCAGTGTTACTTTCCCTAGAGTGGAATGGAAAGAGGTGTCATTGCATATCTCAACAGTCTTGCAGAAATAGTAAATAGGTCAGTGTATGTTTCATTATAGGCTCTACTGACCTACCACATGCTATTTGCACTTTTAGATTTTCAACTGCCCATCTAGCACATATTAAAAAGACACATTTTCCTGAGTCCACTAAACTTACTAAAGAACATCTGGAGAGCAGTACTGTGAAGCAACACACATGCTATAAGTAGACTGCTCAGAGGCTAGGGGTACATAGCCATGCTTTTGTGGGGACACTGAGAAGTTAATTTAGTTCAGAGAGATAGGATAAATAGTATGCTGTCACAGATTTAAGCATTATCTAAACTAAGTTGTATGTTTCTTAAATCTGACTTGTATTTATGTCTTCACTACATTACAGCCTGCACTACTCCACATGTTTAGCTTGACAAACCACTGACTTTGGACTAGTTGACATACTTTCTGATAATGCTTTTCCCTTTGATCCAATGGTCAATAAAGCCTAATGCAGGCTGCAAGATGAGAAATCAGTTTGTCTTATTTTTAGGCAAAGAATGTGTATAATATAGAGGTAAGCTTGTCCATGTTATAAGGGCATGGTTATTAGAAATTAAGGTTAACATCCATCATTTCAGTCAGCAGACTTTTCTCATTGTAGAACTATATTGATAGATAGGTGCACTCTTTAACTTTTCACCTCCCCCTTTCTTTCAGTTCAAAATCTTTGCTGTAGAAACAGAGACACATTTCAGCAAAAACATGCCAGGAAGACAGTTTCATGTAGACTGAAGTTACAGAAATGTAGATATGTTATTTTACAGATAACATGTAGGCATCAACTGCTTTGTCTCACTGCCTTTTAATAATATGAACTAAATTGAATAAATCGTGTCAGCAACTGAATGGAAGTAAGATGAACAGAACAAGGAAGGTTTTCTATACATCAAATTGCTTTCCCCATACTTTTTGTTAAGTATCTGCTCATGGCTGGAAACCTTGTATATGGGTATCATCAGCATCAAAATTATGACTGATGCTTAAAACTTTATTTGAAGACTATAGCTGTGACACTGAGTCCGGGAAAGTTGACTTCAAAAGTAAAATAAACGGCTAGGTAGGGCTGTAGACGTACCTGGAAGAAGAGAGAACTTACTTTTATCTCTCAATTTTCTTGTTGCACAAAGTCAAATGCAGTATGCATTGACTTCCTAGAAACAAGTTCACAGGACAGGCAAGGAGCTAGTTCTCCAGTCAATCACTCCTTCATTTTCATGCATGACAGGGCTCCCGATTTATTTTCCTTCTGGCACAGTTACCCATGATGCTATGGATAACATAGACTGCAGCTTAACACAGATCTAATACAAATTAGCTTCAGATCTTTGGCTACCGTTATTTTTATCTCAGTCAGATATGAAACCACCATGAATTCTAAGGCTCACTGTGACTTCACTAGGGATACTAAAATTTAATCTGGAGAATTTTAGGATTATTTTTATACAGAATTAATACATAAAGTCTCTTGCTAGAAAGGGAGTGAAAAGGAAGGGAACTCACTCATGTCAAATAGATCCTTTTCTGGGCTACTCTCTTTGGTATTATTTGCGTTTCCACTGAAGGTACTTTCAGCATCTGCCTGAAGTGCCAATAGAGCTTCCATATTTATATGCTGGGTGTTCACATAAGTTGGCATCTCTGCTGTTGAAGTTACTTGTGATCTCCCTTCCGGCACACTATAAATATCCAGAGATCCTGGAAAATTCAAGAGATGGTGGTTTATTTTATTTATTTATTTATTTATTATTTTTTATCTTTTACATAATTATGTTGTTAGAATGAACAGATGATAATATCAAAACCCATCACAACAGGTTTAAAATTCCCTGGAATGGAAGATAGAAAGACAGTAACTGCTGAAGCTAATAGAAACAATATGCCATTGAAAACAGTTGTAACAGTGTTTCAGTGAATTTTATTTTTAATTATTCTGGAGAAAAGGTATTTTTTGTAAATCAAGACTGTGAGTTTCAAATTAGCTGGGGACTCATTGGGGATGAAATGAAACAAAGTTCCCAAATCAGTGTACATTAACAACAGACAACGTATTCTGGCATTTGAAAAGAAATGGTCCACCCAAGACACCTCAAAGCTGTCACGTAAAGGTGGAAGGGGTCAAATTTGACACAGATGTTTTGAAGTGGTTTGCTTATAACTCATAAACTGCAATATTAAAATCATGCAGTGTTTGTTATGTGTAGAGCCCAAATTATATACAGACGTGCATTGTTCTACATTCCTAAGAAGATTCTGACTTTGTACCCTACCTTTGGAAAATCCACTGTGCATATCCTAGTGGGTCAGATTTTATGAAAAGACCAAAAGTTTGTCTTTAAATACCATGAACTTTTCAGACAAGCTAGATAGCTGAATGTTTGGGGCAAATCTGTACAGGAAGTGTTCTGCAAAATATAAGTTTTTGTGAAGGTGTGCATTTAATAATTCATCCAGGAATACTTACCAAACACTTTTCACTGATGTCAACACCAAAATTCATGACAAAGGGGACCAACAAAGTGCAGTTCATTGACTTAAGTCTTCAAGGCATCAGACATTTCTGTGCTTTGCCCACCCAAGACATCCTGATACATTACAACCCAAACTGGTAAGACTCACCTTGCTTAACAGGTTCATGATGCCAGTCTTCATTGAATTTGTCTCCTAAGTGACGACTCTGGTAATAGATCCGCTCTCTTCCCACTCCTGCTGCAGACTAGAATGGACACATGTACAAAGAAAATTGCAATTACCATTAAAACACTGATATATTATGAGTGGCTTGGACAATTTCCTTGGCTGTATTCTGTGTACTCCCACTCTTTATTTCCGATTCATTATTGTGTCAGAATATAGATCTCAGGAAAACATTTGTGTAGGAGTAGGACATTACTGGTGACCTTCATGAAAACTTCCCTCCTTCCTGCTTTATCAACCCCTGCAATCCCAAATAATACATCATTGCCTTCAATATGTTTGTCTCCACACAGGCAGCCCTGACAAACTGTGGCTGGGAAAACCATTTCTTAGAAACCACACAAGGGATCAGTAGACACCCCAAACACCCTCAAAAACATGAGCTGAAAGACTCACATTGGTACCAGGGAACTCACTTAGATATTGACAGGAATATGTTTTCTTCAGTCAAGGCCCCTCTAGATTTAAACAGAATTGGACTGGATCTCAAAACTCCTCTTAAGTGGTTATATGGATAAGAGTCAAACCTCTGACAGCAACGCTGGTAGAAATATCCAAGCTGGCTTCGGTTCAGTGTGAGATGAAAGACCTACCTAGGAACCTGGCTAGATATCAGTTGCTGCTGAGTTATTAGCATAATGAAATGTTAGCAATGACTGTATTAGATTGTATAGAAGCTTCTGTATCAAATAGTTTCTAGTTTGTTTGCACTCTTAATTCATACTCTCTGAGACAGATATGTTGCTTAAAACTGTAGTAACCTCCAGCTTCTTCTCTGAACTTTTTTTTTTTTTTAACACCATGAAGAATTCAACTCCCTTTGCTCAAATGCTTAAATTGTTGTCTCCTAGATCAATGCCCATTAAATATGAAACTAACCATACATTTATGTTCCAAATAAATCCATCTTAAATATATATATATTTAAATTATATATATGTGTATGTAATATAATATATAACATATATATTACATATAGCACATATCTTATATATAACATATATATGATATATACATATATCATATGCATATAATATATATTATATATTTTATATTATATATATGCATATATATATATATAGTATACTTTACATATATATATATATATGTATGCATGTAAATTTTGGATCCATCAGCAAGAGGGCAGAGAGGCACCGACCTGAGCTGTGTCTGCAGCAGTGGGAATCCTTGCTTTGAGTCTGGCATCAATGAAGCCACCAGGAGGGGGCATTTTATTTGGGATGTTGTTGTAATAGGGATGTTCTGCTGCCTCACTCTCTTCCTCCATCCATGACTCATCAAAACTCTGCACCCTGTAAGAAAGTGAGTGCTTGAGTTTGTGTGTCACTTGCAGAGCACTTACAAATACTTTCAGCATGTTAAGACAGGCTGTGAGAGGATCACTATTGCATATTATTTTGAAAATTCAGCTACCATCATTGGCCAGGATGATGCAGCAGATACCCTGATTAGATACATTTTATCTACATCTCCCTTTGCAATGGATGAAATTCTTTAGCCTGAAAAATGATTTATTTTTTTTTAAACTTAGCTTTAAAGATCATTAAATAATCCACAAACAAACTCACAGTAGCATTCGTAATATTATTACTTGATTGACTGACTAAGCCCTAAAACATTGTCTTTAATTATGTCTGTACTATCACCACTGTAAATCTTGAAGAACTTCATGAAGTCATGAGATAGGATCTGTGCTTTCAGTCTACATTTAACAGTCATTTATTCCATTCCAAAGTGAGTACAGAATGCTTCCAGATAGAAATAATAGCATTTAATATTCACATTCATAAATGTGCTCATTTTACCCTTATGTAAGAAATAAGATTTATTCTAATGTTACTGAGCATATACTGATCCATGATAAAAATAGAGATCACTAAAGGAAACAGAAGGCTATACCACAGCATTTTAAACGTGTGAAAGCCAACAAATCTGACATTATTACTCTAGAGAACAATGCAGTCAAAGCCTGTCTATGAGACATTACATTCCTAAAACCTTTACTCCAGCTAATACCAGAAATAGTGAAACATCACTGATCATTTGGGAAGCCCAGCAACTCTAGCTCACTTTATCCAAATTGACGGAGCTGCTATCACAGTAACAAGAATGATAAAATGTGACAAATAATATTCATTCTTGGCCATCCAACACTGCATATTAACCACGATGGAAAACACATGATACTTTGAGTAATTTCACTGTGAAATCCATATTTAGTCCATTCTTTTAAAATGACTCTGCTCCTCTCAGATTCATTAAGCAAGCCCTCCTTTGCTAATTCAGCAGAAATCTCTTTTTGAAGCATTTAAATCCTGTTCATCTCCAGCAAATTTGTCCATAGCATATTTTATAAAGTAAAAATAAAGAATGTTCTTTATCAGTCTTCTGTAACCGTACTCACCTATCGTGGAAAGTAGGTATCTTAGAGGGGCACCTTAAGTATTGCTTAAATCGAAGCTCAAATGCCTGCCCTATGGTGCTGATGACATCCTGGGCAAGGCCATCACAGCATTCCAGTATATGACAAGCTACATGAAAAAGATTGACACATTCAAATCAATCTTTATATTAGAGCGGGATGCACTGACCTATGACAAAACACCTACATGTCAGGCATAATTGGCCTATTTGTGGTATGTGCATTTCAGTAAAACCTGAAGCAGGCATGATGAATTTCAGACAATGGACTGTAAAGATTAAATAAAATAGATATAGTGTGTAACTGCAACAGGCAAGAGCTCAAATCAGTTCCACAACTTTAATAAGTCCAGAAAGATAGGAAACTCCATAAAATTCACACTTGTTATTAATTGAATGCAATAGGCTATATGAAAACTTTGAGCTCTAAATTGAGCTTACAAATAAAAGATTACAAATATAAGTAGACAGCAAAAGCAACAGCAACCTTAACTACTCCATGCTTTCTTTGCTTTCATTAATTTTATACCCACTTTAATTTTATTTTAGCTGTGGTGGGATGGCTCCCATGACTGGAGTGTTGGAATGGAAGGATACGGGCTCTTTAGGAAGGACAGGGAGGGAAGATGAGGAAGGGGCGTTACTCTCTATGTCAATAAGCAGCTGGAACACGTGGTGCTCTACCTGGGGATAGGTGAGGAGCTTATGGGTCAGGATTAAAAAGAAGACAGGGCTAGGTGACATTCTACTGAGAGTCCATTACAGGCCACTTGCCAAGGAAGATTGATTAGATAAGGCTTTATACAAACAAATAGAAACAGTCTCACTTTCACAAGCTGTGGACCTCATGGGGGACTTCAACCACCCTGATATGTGTTGGAGGGACAGAACAGTGGGGCATAGCAATCCAGGAGGTTCCTGGGTTGTGTTGATAACAACTTCCTTCTTCAAATGATAGAGGTGCCGACAAGGAGAGGTGTTATGCTGGACCTAATTCTCACCAACAAGGAGGGGCTGGTAGACAATGTGAAGCTCAAATGAAGCCTTAGCTGCAGTAACCATGAAATAGTGCAATTCAGGATTCTTAGAGGAGTGAGGAAGGCACAATTCAAGCTCACAACTCTGGACTTTGGGAGAGCAGACTTTGACCTCTTCAGGGATGTTGGTAGGGATCTGATGAATCTCTTCTTGGTAGAGTTCTCTGTGATAAAGCCCTGGAGAGAAAGGGCCCAATGAAGCTGGACAAAGGATCACCTCCTCCAAGCTCAAGAATGATTCATCCCAACAAAGAGGAAATCAGGCAAAAATGCCAAGAAGGTTACATGGATGAACGAGGAGCTCCTGAAGAAATTCAAAACCAAAAAGGAATATTACAAAGGGTGGAAGCAAAGACAGGTAACCTAGAAGAGTACAGGAAAATTGTCTGAGCAGCCAGGGATCAGGTTCTGAAAAGCTAAAGCCCTATTAGAATTAAATTTGTCCAGGGACATCAAGGGCAAAAAGAAGTGATTGCACCTCATAGTCCTTGCTCAACTGTGGCAACTGGGAGGAGTGCCTCAAGACTGCAGGAAAGCAAATGTCACTCCTATCTTAAACAAAAGAAAGGAGGACAACCCAAGGAACTATAGTCCAGTTAGCCTCACCTCAATCCTTGGGAAAGTGATAGAACAGTTAAACCTGAAAACCATTTCAAGGCACCTGAGGAAAAGAGAAACAACAGGAGTATTCATCATGGATTCACCAAAGGGAAATGATGCCTGATCAACCTGATAACCTTCTATAATGAAATCATCAGCCTCATGGTTGTGTGGGGGGATCAGTCTTCCTAGACTTCTGTAAGGCTTTCAACACTGTTTCTTATAAGATTCTCATAGAGAAGCTGTTGAACTATGGACTGCATAAGCAGTAAGGTGGATCAAAAACTGACTGAACAGTCTGGCCCAGAGGGTAGTGATCAGTCATGCAAAGTCTAGTTGGAGAACAATAATGAGCAAAGTACTCCAGGGGTCAAAACTTGGTCCTGTCTTGCTTGACATCTTCATTGTCAACTTGGATGATGGGATAGAGTGCACCCTCACTAAACTGATGGATGACATGAAACCGGGGTAAGTGGTTGACTCATGCATACAGGCTGGGGGACAAGAAGATGGAGAGCATCCCCGCAGAGAGAAACCTAGGGGTTGTGGTTAACCACAAACTGAATATGAGCCAGCAGTGTGCCCTGGCAGACAGGAGAGCCAACTGTACTCTGGGGTGCATCAAGCACGACATTGCCAGTTGGTTGAGGGACATGATTGTCCCACTCTACTCTGCGCTGGTACCTCAAGTACTGTGTGCAGTTCTGGGCACCACAGTACAAAAAGGACATTAAACTCTTGGAGAGTGTCCAGAGGGGGGTGACGAAGATGGTGAAGGGCCTAGAGGGGAAGATGTATGAGGAGCAGCTGAGGTCACTAGGCCCATTCAGCCTACAAAAGAGGAGGCTGAGGGGAGACCTCATCATGGTTTGCAGCTTCCTTGTGAGGGAGAGTAGAGGGGCAGGTGTTGATCTATTCTCTCTGGTGACCTGCCATAGGACCCAAGAGAAAGGAGTCAAGCTGCAACAGGGGAGGATCAGGCTGGATATCAGGAAGAGGTTCTTCACCAAGAGGGTGGTAGTACACCTGAAAAGTCTCCCCAGGGATGCAGTTGTAGCAAAATCCAGTCAGAGTTTAAAAACCATTTGGACTATCCTCTTGGTCATATGGCCTGAGTTTTTGGGTAGACCCATGTGGAGCCAGGAGCTGGACTCGATGATCCTTGTGGGTCCCTTCCAATCAAGGATATTCTGTGACTCTATGATTCTGTGAATCTCATAAAGTCCAACAAGAAGTACAGAGTCCTGCTCCTGGGGAGGAACAAGCCCAGGCACCAGAACATGGTGGGGGTCACCCAGCTGGAAAGCTGCTCTGCAGGAAATGGTCTGAGGTTGCTGGTGGACACTGACTTGAACATAAGTCAGCTTTGTGCCCTTGCTGGTAAGGCTGATGGTATTTTTGGCTGCATTAGGCAAAGTATGGCCATCAGGTCAAGAGAGGTGATCCTTTCCCTCTACTCAGCTGCACCTGGAGTGAGGCTGTACCTGAGTGCTGACCAGTTCTAGGCTCCTCAATACAAAGGATATCTAGATGTACTGGAAAGAGTCCAATGCTGGGCTTCCAAGATGATGACAGGACTAGGATACCTTTCCTATCAGGAGAGGCAGAGAAAGCTGGGACTGTTCTGCCTAGAGAAGGGGAGGCATAGGGGAGATTGTATCAATGCCTATAAACATCTGAGTGGCAAGTGCAAAGAGGATGGAGCCAGGCTCTTTTCTGTGGCACCCGGTGCCAGAACAAGAGGCAATGGAAACAAACTAGCACACAAGAGTTTCTGTCTGAATTTCAGACAGTTCAAACACTTGTCAAACACTTCTTTACTGTGTGGGTGGTGGAGCACTGACACAGGTTGCTCAGAGAGGTTCTGGAGCCTCCGTCATTAGAGGTCTTCAAAAACCCCCTGGACATGTTCCTGGACAACTTGCTCTAGGTGTCCCTACTTGTCCTTGCTTGGACCAAATGACCTCCAGAGGTCCCTTCTAACCTTAACCATTCTGTCATGTTCTGATTATCACTCCAAGTTTCCAAGTTGTTCTCTTCAAGTTCCTAATTTTTTTCAAATTTCAAGCTGAAGGAAGAGCAATAATAACAATACTTCCTACATTGCGGACCCTGTTACGGTTGCAGTAATAAAAAGGATGCATGTTGAAAGTAGACTTGACAGACAAAACCAGGACCCTCCACATATTCAGAGGCAGAGGCTGACATCCCTGGCTAGCAGCAGAATATTTGCTGTTTACACTCGCTGCACCAATGTTGTTGGTGGTGAACAACCAGTCCCAGATAAGGTACAGGAAATATCTCCGGGAAAGTGGACCCACAGTAGTTAGATTAAAGAAAGCTATAATTTTTTCACTCTGTAACTAGAGAGGGCATTTAAAGAGGCGACATTGCTTACTGCTATACCTGTCTGGAGCTGAAATGAAGCATGAGTCATTAAGTAGTTTCAGTAGGTGACATAATGAATAACCTGTTTCCTTGGATACGTGAATGGACTTTCAGCAGGTAGGAGATGTGCTTCTTGTAAAAGGTTGAGAAGGTTTGGCTTACACAGAGATGATTTCTTGTGTAGGTTACAGTGGAAGACAGACAGTCTACAGCTATCTAGATCCAGAATATAAAGCATGAAGACAGCTTTTCCAACCTTGGGAGTAAATGAGTCTAATATGAATGTGCAAACTGTAGTACAGCATTGGTCCTAGTGTCAATAAGAGCAGCAGTAACACTTTCTGTGAGATACAGAAGTAAAATCAAACTCACTTCTGAAGTGATTTATAGATAACATAAAGGTTGATGGAATGGCCAGAGAGGGTAAAACACAGCAATTTACCCTTGGTAAATTAGACCTTTTGAAAAATGAGTTTTAATACTAGGCACATGCAAAGTCACTGATCTGCCACCTCTGAGGTATACATGCAATTGGGAAAACTTCTTATGGAAAGCTCTGGCTAAGGAGGATGAAAGATTACAGCATTAAAGAATTTCACCTGAGATAACATCGCTACACAGCAGCAAAAATGGCTAATGAGAAAACCAGCTAATGATTAAGCCAGAAGCAAATAAGAATAGGAAAGTGCAACCTCTATTATAGATTGTTGAGATAAATATTAGATTACTTCAAAAAATAACAGTCATTACCTAGACTATGTAGAAAAGTTAAAGGAGAAACAAATGATATGAAGGATGGAGGACGTGAACTGCAGCTGGAGACCTACAGACTTCAATCTGTCAAATCTTTCTTAAAAAATGAGAAATAGCTTGATATAAATGCTTCACAAAAAAAAAACAATATCAGGCACTTAGATGACTCCTTATTCCAGGATAGACAAGCATAACAAGAAACTGTCAGGCTACAATGCCAGTCCACTACACTGCCACCAAGATCTCTTTCTTTCCAACTCAGAAGAGCAGTGCTGTAAAACAAGAGCAGCTGGAGTGCTGCTCCACACTGTATTGCCTCCAGCTTCGTGCATGAGCCTATCAAGAGGAAGGCACATGATGTTGAAACATAATAAGCACCATGAAGAGCTGAACTGTCTCCCTTCCTCCCACTCCACATACATTTTCTAGATGTTTCACTAATATTCAAGTACTACTTCTGAGTTAACATTGCCAAGTCTGGACATTACTGCACATGATCACAACAGATCATTGAGGTACTTAAGATAACTAAAGGACACAAACTACCAAAACTGTTGAACTAGTCATGCTCATGGCTCAGTGGCAGCTTGGAGTTTGCAGGTTTGAAGTTAAAGTGTCTAAATTCTGCAAAAATCCTGTTGGAAGTGCTTCAGTGTTTTGTTTTGTTTTTGTGTTTGTTTTTTTTTTTTTTTTTTGGAGTAGTCTTTTCTTCTCTATGAATCTATGAATAATAAATAGATTCTCAGGTACATTATACAATATTCTGTGTCTAGTATTAAGACCCAGTAATGCTTTCGGCATTACAAACAGAAATGAGTTCTTTATCTATTATTCCACACTGTAATTTACACTCTTATAACATACTATTATTTCTGAAACTCTGCACTGGATCTCAGTCTTTGAAGACAATCAACAAGAGGTTTCCAATACCTGACTGATTGCTGAGAAAGCAATAGAACCAGGCATCTCCATGAATAAAACTTCAGCAAACAATATTTTATGAGGAAGAATTTGGCATGTACTTAGACCTAACAGATTCAGACTCTTAATCAGAGGAGTTAATCAGAGGGCTGCTTAGTTCTTTCATCTTGATTGAGTGTAGGTATGAGTTAGCTGTTGCCTAGAAGCTTGCAGCCAAGACAGGCAAGCTTTTGATTTAAGAGATGAAGAGAATCCAAGTGATATTTGGAGATGAGTTACAGAAAAGACCTGTTCCAAATTTCAGAACTAAGTTGCGTATGGCAGCTTCTTAGTGCTACACAGTCATTCCATGACTCTGTCAAAGACAACTTTTTATTGGGCTGCATTTATGTTTTATTGGGGGAAAAAAAAAAAAAAAAAGACTAAATTATGCCATGAATAATTCATGTTTCTCAAAGGAAAGTAAATGCCAGATAGATATTTCTAACTTACCTCTCCGATTAACAGGATCCTTAGCTACATATGCAACATAGTCAGTTGTATCCTATTAAAAATTAAAAAAAAAAAAAAAAAAGACATTTTAAATGTAAAAAATTCTTGCACAGATCATACTGAATTATCACAGTTGCGAGTGTATCTACTCCTGGGGGCATGGTCCCAATGTGACGTGTTTTACTTTACAGATGTACACTACTTAAAACCTATAAAAACATTTATGGGTTTTAATACTGATTGGGAAGCCATTTAAATACAAAGCCATTTAAAATCAGTTAAACAAATCTAGTAGGACATGGGTCAGGATTAATTTAGAAGGGATTAAAAATTTCAAGTCCTCATCTTTCAAGTACTCAAAGATTTGGGTTCAGAATACAAATTATCAGCAGGTTCTGCAGCAGAAAGAGTAGCACTGACATCCCTGTTCCTCAGAAATATTGAGCAATGAGGTTTATTCATGGGTGACAAGCAGGTGTGTTTACATTACTGACTACAATGACGTATGGAACAGAGGTGCTCAAGTACTGCTTGGCTGTTGCAAGCAGTCTCCCAAGATGATCTCCCTCAGCCCATGGGCATCACTCATCCATCCCTTCTCCCACATACCGGGTAGATTTTCTGACAAGAGCAGGCTCAAATCTTTGGGGATATTTTTTTGCTTACTCTCCTACAACACTCACATGATGCACAAGTGGTGCAAACTTTTATCACCATGGAGATGAAACAGAAAGGCCAGTTCACCCAGATACCATGAGGCCTACTAGCATATCTGGAAAATGTCAGTGTTCTTTGATGCAGTCAGGAAGCTCTGGTTAGATCCAGTATATCTTGACATGCCTGGATATTCATGTATATCTAAAGTTAATTGAGGTAGAGATCGGATACTAATTGAAGACCATTGACTGTTATGTCAAGATCTAATGTCATAGCAAACACCAGTCTTCAATGAAATGATAGACTTTTTTTTTAACTTAGCTCTCTGTAGCACAAGCATGCACACACCCCTACCAAAACAAATCACCGTGCTGCATGTATACGTAATTTCCTTCTTAAGTGGATGATAAGGGAAATGATAAAGCACACTCATGGTTCTGGTGACAGGTGGATAGCCATGTCACATAATGCACTATTGGAAGGCACTCAGACACAGCTGTAACGAGGTTGGTCTGGACGAAAAAAAAAAAAAACCAGCAGAGAGGACTACCCTTAGCACTTTGCCTGTTAATTTCTTAAGAACCCAGTGACATAGTGTCTGGGCTATGACTTGAGTGGAAGTAATGACGCAAATCAACAGCTAATGTGAAAAGAAAACTAGCTATGTCTATAATGGTAAATAAAACAGGGCCAAAATAGAAGCCTGAAAGCTGTCCCACAGTTGTTCATGATGCTTAAATGTTGCTACTCTCCCTTGCTTGCCTGTGCTGTTTTCCTATGCAATGCCCTGAAACTGTCCAAGGGAACAACACATGCTGGGCACTGATCCCACGAGACCACTGGGAGGAAAGAGAGTGGATGCACAGAAGCAAATTTCTGATTGGATTTATGTCCTTAAAGCAAGCCATGGGTTATTTTATTCACTAGTACAGACGTAACTAATGGATATATTTATGCCTAAGTAAATAATAGATTTATCTCATAGCTCTTCTAGATGTGGGTGCAAGAGACTGAAACCACATATATTTCATTTCATTTACAGTTTTTTTTCAGATTTGAGCTATGATGAACCACTAAGCACAAGAAGTAAGTGCATTTCACAGTGGATAAATTAAAAGACTCCCATCAAAAGTGTATGCTTTTGGAGGCATCATCTGGACAGAAACTGAAAAGCTACTTTCTAAGGGACCTTTCAGAGATCTGTCTCATGAAAACGTAAGAGATCTCCCTCTATCTTAACAGGCATCTCCAAAACCAGATGTCTTGTCTAGCAGCCTGGAAACAGACACCTGAAATGACTATGGATTAAAAATGAGGGTGGATCATAAGGAGGGGCTAAAGATTGCTAAAGCAGAACCAGAACACAGTCTTAGAAATAAACTAAAAATGATCCTGAAATGGTGTGTAAAAGGATTTGGTAGAAAGATTTTAAGCTCCCATGCACAAATAAAGCCAGAAACTGACTCATTGAAAAGGGGAATATTACATATATATATATATGGTACTCAAGCTGTTCTCCAAGACTGTGGAACGCTTTTCCAGTGGATATATTTTGAGTGATAAAGGCAATTAACGCTTAGGGAGTGGGAGGAAAGTTGCAAAGCTAATTGCTGGCACAAATGTGTGGCAGAAATCCAGAGCAGAAAACTGGGTGGGTTGAGAAGTGGGGGCAGTCTTGCTTCTAAATAAACCAAACTTCAAAATTCAGTATAAGGAAGGCATTCCCTTAAGTAGTCTGGGCACAGATCTGGGCTCCTCATGTTTAGCACAGTATGGCCTTTCTCCCTAGAAGGAGATGAGCTTATGGGCTGTGACCCAACTGTGTTTACAGGAGAAGGTGTGGTGATGACAGTCCTCCACTAAATGGAAATCATTGAGGCCCGATTAAAGTTATGTTCTGATAATCTACAGATGGGTTAATAAAGCAGTGGCTTAAGTCACATCCCTAGCATTTGTCCTCTTTCCTGTGCTCTCTCAGAACAAAGGAACCACCTGCTTCATGAACAAGTTTACCAGATACTAGCCTGCTGAGATGAGCCTGCACAGTGTCATTAGAACCTTACACCTGCCCTCTCCACCCTCAGAATGAAGTCACCATGCTGTGGTCTTACTGGGAATGCAACTTTACAATTTCACTGTCTCTTACAGGCTCCCTTATACGATGCAATTTGATATCTCTGGTAGCTTGCTGACTCAGTAACGTGATTTTCTCTAAAACACTTGGAAGAGCTTGTTTACTCCAAATCCAATCTCTACTGCTGCTCCTCTCTTCTTCTCTGGTAAATCACTCGATCAGTGGGCAGTGTGCAATGGTGTTTCCAGGACTTAGCATTTGGGATGGCAGATGGGGAGCGAAGAATCTTCTTACGGAGGCAGGGAACTGTGCTAATCACTCCTCTGCCCACTTCAGGAATTGTTCATTTACAGCATCCATTGCAATCTGTTGTATTTCAAAGCTGCTGTTGATCCATTTTTATTTTTCCCCCCCCAGATTGTTGTGATATGGCCTCCTTTTCCCTTCTGGAACTTAATGGAGTTCAGCAGAGCTATTCTAAGACTGAAGTTTGCCCTTATGTTTACCAAGGATAGTGAAATGAACAGAGGAAGTTCTGCCTGTTTTCAACTTAATGGAGTTGAACTGAGAGAAATAACTCACAAAGCAGGCTATAAATCACCTTGTCTTACTATATGACTGATAAATGACATATAATCACATGAAGGAAAAGGCATACATACAATTAATCTAGGTTTAAAAGCTTTCAAACCTCTAAGGTTATGAGGTAAGCTTTGTCCGTGTTTTATAATTCTCCCACTTCTTCTAGGTGAGAAATACTTTTTGAGCACATTTAATATGCCTTCAGATGGACTACTCATAAAAACAGGGAAATGCATAACAAGCCAGAGTCTGCCCTTTGATCTAAATGAATCAAATGCGTAGGTGTCTCTGAAAGCTTTGCAAAATTGCAAAGAAAGATCCAGACTCTTCTTGAAAGCCTGTCTTCAAACTGCACGTGTGTAATTAATGTACCTGAAGGCAGTATTTAGCACACTCCTTTCAATGTACACTTCAAAACAAGTAGAAAAAATAAAAAGTACATACATTTCTATAAATATAAACGCAACATAGTTGTCTATTACTGCAAAGAAGACAAAATAAAAAACAGTCGGGATGAAAATTCACACAATACCCATAAGACTATGCTACATTACTTTGAAAAGCAGAGCTCTACTTATCAATTATTATATGAATGCTCACAGCCCTTTGATACTTTTCATTTCAGTCATTCAAAAAGCAGGATTCATGACTGCTTGTCAGTAGTTTCCCTCAAAAAGAGTTTGATGGCAACAATCAAGAATTTATGAAACAAGAAACAGGAGCTATAGTAGTTATATTTTTCTTTCAGTAGGCTATGCAATAAATTTTGTCACACAGTCCTCAAAGCAATATCTATGCGAGAGAAAGCTTTAGTTTAGATAAATACTTACAGGATCACCTCCGGATGCGAAGGAGATAGATTGCATATGGTGATTTGCTATGATCTGTATGGATCAGAAGAAATAAGTGCAAGTCAGTAGGTTTTTCTTACACAGTTTAACCTTTGATTTCTTTTTTTGGTTCATGCAGGGGTGAAAATCCAAAAAACAATATCAAAATATACTGTTTCACTCACAAGGAATCCAAAGAGTAACATGAGAATATATTAAAAGAAACAAAACAAAACAAAACAAAAATAGCATATCCATTCCAACGTTCTTTGAAACCTAGCAGGACACAGCAAAATTTTTAAGTGTGCTTAGAACGTCATTAAATCATATAGATTTGTTATACAGTATAAGAAATTTTAATCTGCTAAAGTTCACTTGCTTTATCACAGTTAGTGATGAATGGAGCAAAGTATGCTATTAATCAAAATACTTTTCTGCCTATTCCACTCTGGTGAAATCAATGAAATCATGCCTAACTGCACAGGAGCTGAGGTTCCTAACATTGCTTCCAGTAGCAACCATGTCATTTTTAATGGTTGGACTAGATGATCTTAGAGATCTTCTCCAACCTAAATGATTTTAGGATTCTATTTTATGTTTCGAACATAAACATAATTGCAATATGCAAACAGAATTTTCAATCTAGCTGCAATCTAGCATTATGGCCAAAATCTCAGCCATATTCCAGGGCTTTGGAATGACTAAATTCAATTTGCTTATGTACAATTTGAACTAATAAGATGTTTCTCTGGGAACAGATGAATTGTCATGAACCTCTAATACAGGGATAACTGCTCTGCTGCATTGCTATTCTGATATTTAACTTATGAAATCTTTTAATAATGAAATCATGTAACAACCAGGAAAGAAAAGGTCATTTGAAAGAAAATTTCACTTGTTCTTTTGACTCGTAAAAACGATACCAAATAATTCATCTGGTTTAGGACAGACCCCTAATTCAGTATCTCAGAGCATATGACGGTAGTCATTTGGATCTTAGTTGTTCACTTTAGAGAGGGAGTCATACACTTAAGAAAACTGTTCCAGAAAACAAAACAAAAACAAATTAAAAAAAAAAAAAAAGAAGTTATAAAAATATTCTATGAGTTCTTCTCTTATCCTGAATCCTAAAGACCTAAACCATCCTTCCTGAAAAAGAAAGCTACCTGACACGTTTCTCTGAATCACACTGCTTCACCAAGTCAGACAGAACTGACAGAGTGAGCAACTTGAAGTGCTTGTTTCATGTAAAGAGTGCTTCCATTTTAATACTCCTGCTTGTCCACAGAGGTCTCAGAAGATATGGTTAATTTTAAAGTGTTCCCTGGAGAACCATCATTCCCTACTCATCAGTGAGGATTTCCTTCTCTTTTTTCCCATATAGAGGAGGTGAACTTAACAACAAAAATAAACTACTGAAGATTTTCTGCACAGTTAATATTGTAAAAATAACATGTTCATCATCATAATAAATAAAAGAGCAGATTTCTCAAAGGTTTTTTTTTTTTTTTTTTCAAATTTTAAGGAAATATAAAAGTTTCAAAACTATTAGTTCAAGTCAGAATTTTCTTCCTATTCCACAGGTAAATATTTTAGGTTCTTTGGTATTTTTCCCCAATACTGAAATCCTGAAACAAAACATATCAAAGTATCAATGTCTTGCACTACTTTATGTGAAACAATTCACTAATGTTGGCATATAGTTTTGAAATATCTCACTCTACCGAAGTACTTTATCCAAACAAACAAAACCAAAATAAAATGTCAGCTTCCACTCAGCATGCTCACAAAGTTTTTGTACAGGACACAATGCATTGCTTGCCTGCTAGCCACGGGCAAAAAACAGTCTTTTTTTTCCCTCCAGCTCCTCTGGGAAAAGAAGGCTGTTACAGACATCCAAAACTGCCTTCCTGGGTGAGGCTTCAAAGAGCACAGCTTCTGGGCTGCGCTTATTTTCAAATCAAATGCTTGGCACAAACAAGAAACTAGAGAGGCCACAGCCAGACTGGGGATCTCTGAGAAACCAGATGTTTCACAGGCCTGCAGCATCCAGAGCAAGTCCATCTCAAAAAGAATGATGTGTGAGAAAGATAAACAGTTTTGTCAACCCTTTTTTAGTTTTGCTTTTGTTTGTTTTTTTTAGCTCACTGAAAATTATTTCATCACTCACAGGAGAAAAAAAAAAAAAGGCAACAAAGCATCTTTCCTGGGATCCTTCCCTGGGATAATTCAGTTTAACTTAATTTCTACCCTGATGTCAGCTGAAAACAAGGCCACTTCCAGGCTTGCTACTCTTTTGATAGATCTAATAAACATCAAGTTCATATGCTTCTGACTGGGGGCAGCCATCCTTATGAAAAACACTGCTGTGTCTATTCCATAATAAGGCTCCAAAATACTGCAAGCAGCCATAATGTTGCTCTCACAGTCTCAGTGCTCACTGTAGATGATTGAGATGCTTTCTAAATGAGGATAAGAATGAAGACAAATCAATGAAAACATAATAATAAACAGCAAGCCTTTTAACACACAGTGTTTTTTCTTCTTTAATGTTGAGGCTCCTAACAACAGCAATTTTTTTTTTATTTTATTTTTTTCTCTCTCTAGCTGTATCTGGGCAGAAAGTTGCACGCAGTATGTGGCTCACAGCAAATAGCACAGCAGTGACTACGCAAGTCCGTCTGCTTTCTCTTTATATATACCCTGAGCAAGGATTTTTCTCATCTCATACATCATTTACAATCCACTGCAGTGATTCCCCAAAGCCTGTATGTACCTTCAGCACAAAGAAGAAACAAGCTGCCTGAAAAAGACTGCTTTGTCTTTCAAGAAGACTGGCATTTCACTGCACTGCAAAATCCTTGTGGCTGTATTTTTAGCAGTGTCTTAGGAACAGATTGTCCTTTAGGGCTCTAAATGAGAAGGATGAAAATAAAATTGGAGATGTGCATTCAGTCCTTTGGTCACCTACTCCAAACGCATCCCTCTGAACTCTCTGAAAGTTTGTAACTGTATGAAAAAAGAACTCCCAGGACTAGAAAATGCTTTTTCATGTTATAGGTCTCCTAAGAACAAAACCTAAACATGGCAAGAAGAAAATAATTCATCAAAACTTCTGAATACTAGAGCAAACTACGACTCCTAATATGATTTATATTTTTTCACTCATTTTATAAACATTATTGTGGAACAGTACCTTTTGGCAGACAGCAAATACCTGTGCAGTAGGCTGTTCTTCCAAAGTCTCACAAATTAACATGGCACTTGCACTCACCTGCTTTGTATCAGGAGTCATTAGGTTTAAGCTGGTGGTGGAGATATTCAGCATTATGCTCATTCCTGCAAACTGAAGATTGCTTTTTCCCAAGATGCTAGAAAGAACTTTGCTTGGTGGCTGTGAGGGAGAAAAAAAAAAAAAAAAAGCAGGTTTGTGTTTTGTTTACTTGGGACAACCTACCTTGCAGGTAGGATTAGCTCAAATCTTAAAGATTCCTAAAAAGCTGCTGACTTTTCAAAGATCACTTCATTGGAATAGCTGTTTTCCTCTGGAAAAACTACTAATATTGCTAATGATATCTGGGCAGGTATACACAATACTTGACCTAACAAATTAAGACCTACTAAGACCTATCTTTTTTTGTGAGATATCAATCCTATCTTCATCAAGGGACTATGCGAGCAGACTAAGATGAACACCATAAGTCATTATCTTAAAATGACATGTTCTTATTCTGCAAAAACAACTCAAAATCCTTTCAGGATCTGTTGCTTGCTCTGCATTGATTGCCTGCTCTTCTCCCTTTCTGAATGGGAAGTGGGATTCCTGTGACAGTGGTGGGATACTCACAAAAAATAGAGTGATGTTATACTCATAGACTTCTCAACAGTAGGTAAAAGCCCAGCAGGATCTAAAACCTCTGTATGTGGGGATACAATGTACAGCTGAAGATTATTCCTAACTCATAAAATCAGTACAAATGGTGTGAAAACAGAGGAGATGTAATAATACTAATTTCTGTAGGTAAGTATCCCATATGATCCTAAGATGTTGTGTAGCAACGTGAGTTTCGCTGCATATCTTCTATGCTGCAAGCTGGATGAGAACAAAAGTAAGGGGTTACCTAGGAGGGACCACAGAGCTTACAAACTTCACACCTCTGGCAGCCAGGAGAAATCTCTCAACCACAAGAGAACAGATAAACACAGCCCTAACAATAGATTGCCAGAAATAACAGACCAAGTCCAGTCACCTGCTGTAGATGTACAGGTGAATACTGACGTTGGTTGTTAGGGTATAAAAGCAGAGTTGTGAGTAGAGGCAGCATCCTTCTGCCACTGTATTTATGTTATGGTCTGCAAGTCTGGTAAGTTTCTAGCAGACTGGCCACTTTTCTGATCCTCATTAAAGCTTAATTCAGTTTCGTTGTGTTTGTGTTTGTTTTTTACCTCTTTCATTGATTAAAAACATATTTTTTATATATTATTTGTATGCAACGGTTGTGCTGCACTCTTTTTACTTCACCATGCTACAGAGCTAGTATTTTCCCTAGCACCTCTTTACAACAAGCTCATTAAATATTCTTGTTTCTCTTCTTTCCTTAAACCCTTGTGTTTCCAAGATGATACCTGAGGATCCCCTCTCCAAGAGGGTAAGTGTGAAAAATTGACCTCAAGAACCAAACTTGTAAGCCAGCAGTGACAAAACCATGAAAGTACACAGTTAAAAAAAGATAATTGCCTTCAACATTTAGCTGAAGTTCTGTTGCTGGGCAAACTTTCTTCTCAGACAGCAGGCTTACTTTATAAATAGTATATCTTTTCAATAACTGTTAAGCACTACTGTTTCTTAAAAGAGTAATACGATAAGGTGTTTTACTAGGCACTTAGGGCTCTATTTAAACTACTTTTTGAATTACATTTTGCATCACTGAGCATTTCCAATAAAGGTATTTTCCTCTTTCAGGTTTAAAAAACAAAGGTCAGAGCATCTAAAAATGACAGCGAGATAAATTTGTTGAGAAAGAAGAAAACCACAACTTAATCTCTGAAACAGTTTCCAATTAGGCTGTCATATATGTGGTTGCCTTCTTTCACCAGGGGAAGATTTCCCACTGCATAAGTGGTGTATCAGACTCCCCCTTCTGCATGGACTCTGCCCAGATGGCCAGGTGGGGGATAAGCAGGTAGACCTTGTCCTTCTCCTTCTGCTCCCAACAACATGCACAAGGGCTAGAATTAATTGCATTCTGTGCTCTTTCCAGTAGACTTTGTATTAAATTCCAGTTTTGCTCATGGGCATGTGGAAAAGCAGGAGGTACAGGGGCTAAGCTGAGGTTTCCTCCACTTCCTGCTTCAGACCCTAATTCCTACTACGCAAGTAAGAATGAATGCCTGAAAAGAATTGTGTCAAGCCAATAACACTTGGACCTGCCTTCAGGCCACAGAGCATTTGGCTATAAGTGTTTATGGAAAGAGTATGTGAAATGGGGAATCATCAAGTACATTCTTTCTCTTTCCAGAAATCAGCAATTTCCAAACTCTTAATTGTCACCAGTAAAGCTATGCTCCATCAAAAGATCTAATCAGTTTCAAAACAATGTATATTTTTGGCCTCCAAAATAAATGATTTTTCACAACTTACTCATACATTTTATGAAAAGGCATTCCCTTTTGTTTGCTTTTTAGCCTTTCACCTGCAAATTTACCAAAAACAATCAAACTAAACAACCACACAAACACACATGCAAAAACAGAGTTTCTACAGTATGAACATAAAGGCAAGCCACAATGTATTTCCTAGTTGTCCTCATACTTCAAGATGTCTATAAAAGATGATTCTAACCAAAAGGGAGAGAGGCAAATTAATAGGTGAAAAGAGCCAATACTTTAAATGATTAATGATTTGCAATTCTCAAAGCTGCTTTAAACCACCTGCTTGCTGTGCCTGGTCTCCTTGGTGTTGAACTAAGAAAATAAAGTCAACTTCACTACAAGAAAAGAAAAATACCTTTCGTTTCTTGAAGGCTCCTTTGGCACCAGGCACAGCTTCACAAACACGACTGATTGCTTCCCTGAAGAGACAGAAAAAAAGGTTTATGGCAAGTGAAATCATGAGTTTCTTCATCATACTTCTGAGATGCACTGGAAGAGAACAGCTCCAGATGGTATTTCTGCTCACAGGTGAAGATACTTAGTAGGTCAGTTAGCTCTCTTCTCACCACTAGAAGAGGTGCCATTCAGATTTAGGCTACCTTAGCATAAAGCAGAAGGCAGCGAACAGTCAACATTAGTGAAAGGAAGAGTATCTTGAGAGCTACAAATGATAAAAACGATTTTTCTCACTATTTAAAAGAACTTTCCTCATTGTAAATTAGAAAACTTACTTTGACACCTTCTTCCAGTTCTCTTTTTTGTACCTTATTAAGCCATGAGGAATCTGATCATAAGAAATGTCTTTAACTAACATTTCTTTACAGCTTTTTTTTTTTTAAAAAAAAAAAAACTTTCCTATAAAGTAAGGGTTACTTATTACCATTTTTCTCATTCATGTATTATGCACATTTTCAGTCCCACCTTTTTGGCTTTAGAAAATATATTCTAAGAAGTGCAAAATATTCATGATAATATACACATTGTATAGAAGACATGAGAAGTTTGTTTTGATACAAAATTTTAATTGATAAATTGTTCAGTGTGACCTGAATAATTTACTTGTGCCCCTATTTTTACACTGTAAACAAAATGAATGCCTTGAGCATTTTTTTTCAGTTTTCTAATATTGCTTTATTTTTCCCACTGTATCCACATTGAGTGAAAGAAAATGAATATGAATTAGGACAGTAATTATATGTTAGATTATTTTTTTTTTTCAAATCATACAGCTACAACAAATATTTTAGATTCTTTCAGTATTGAAAAACTAATTATCAGAACAATCAAGCTGGTCAGTGTTTAAATTGTGCTACTGTGCACACCCAGATATTCCTGTGGCAATTAACTATTATGCTGTAATAGTTAACCTGTCAAATTGACACTGCACAAAACAGTTGCCCAGAGACCTATAGAGTTGGCTGTAAACCTCATTTGTTTTAAATATCAATCGGGAGTAACAGCACACTATTCTTAGACCTAGAACCACATGAATAAATATAGAATGGAAAACAATAAACTATGAGCTAAAGAACAGCCAAAATACTCAACACCTCAATACAACCTTGATAAAAATACCTATTATTTTAATTGTGTGTCATATGCAGGATGGTATTTCAACTATTCATTAGGTCAATGCACAGGATCAACAAGTGAGCCAGGAAAGAAATGTCATATATGTTTCAACATTCAATATATAATGGCTCTGCAAATGTCACAGATTTATCCAGGCGCAATCAGTAATTACTATATATTTATTCCTGGGGTACTGTTACCTAGGGTAGATACAAAGTTCAAATCACCTGTTCGCATGTTTTTTTTTGGGCAGAGAGAGGGGGAGGAACAGGCTTTGCAGCAGGTTTAAAATCCTGTCATTCTGAAGAAGAGCAAGATTTATAGAAACAGATAATCAAAAAGCTTTCAGGCACACAATCCTTTCTTCAGGTCTGGAAGAGAGCTTGTTTGTTCCAAAGCTTGTCTTTTCTTTTTTATCTCTCAGCTACATCTGCTCCCCTAATAAGATTGTCTCTCACTACAAACCCTTCCTTGCATATATCCTCAGACCATCATTGATATAACAGCAATCCATTTCACAGTTCAGTGCTTGTATTTAGTTCCCACATTTACCACTATGCTTCTTTGATCCAAACAAGTCTTTTAGTAAAAGTAGTTACTAACTTTTCTTACATACCAGGTAAAAACTGTTTTCTTTCAAGAGCAGTTCTCATATGTATTAGAAATACAACACAGCAATATTCAGACATAGGTTACTTGTGAAAACATTAATTATGAAAAATAAATATCCTTCTTCTTCACCAGTTAAAATCTTTTCTTAGAATTAGGCAGGAGCGACAGCCATTATTTTTACAGACATATCCTGTCTACCTTCTTACCAAACTAAAACTTGAGGTTTCCCATCTCTCTCCTGCAACCGAACTGAATCCTTCAAAGGCAATGAGGTGAGAAGTCCATGCCTCTCAGCTCACTGATGTCCCTCGGACCCATGCCTCGTGCTTCCCCAGGTGAGTCTGAGCTTCACTGACTCAAAATCACTGATATGGAGGCACCACCTTCATCTTCTTCGTCTCTCCCTCCCACGAGCTCTGTTGTCACCAGTGGTCTGCCTAGTGTATTAAGATCCCTCATAGGTTTTGCCTCTCACAAAAAGGATTTACATTTCAGAGACAAAAGCTGTGCTTGATGAACACATTTGCCCATAATTTCCTTTCTCTTCCTATTTGCCTATACCATATTCTATCTCTTGCAGCAACATGGAGTGTGCAGGAGAAAAAGGGAATTTTCTGGTCGGCACACTTGACAGCAACTGTTCAAAAGCATGTTATTTTTCTAGTGCAGGACTGGGGTTTAAAAGCATGTAACTGAATAGACCTACCTGACTCAAGGACCCTGTTAATCAAAACCATCTCTTGAGTACAGGAAAGTAAATGAACCAGCTCAAGAGGCTGAAGCCCCAGGCTGGGGGCTGGCAAAGCAGTCTCAATTTCTGTGGTATAAGTAGGAAAGCACAGAGCAGCTGAAAGATGGGGTACACATCCTCCCACTCAATAACAAAGCACTATAGGTTTTCTAGTTACAGGCCTTCCTTTCAGTAAAATACTTTAGTTTTACTGAACTCAGTGTTCCCAAAGTCTGCATGAACACCGGTAGTGGAGGGAAGACCTGGGAAAAGTGAGAGCTCATTGAGATAGATGTCAGGCATGTCATCTGAACTTAAATTTGACAATTTGTTTTAAAATTCATTTTTTTAAAAACTCTGAATATTAAATACATTCAAACAATGGCAGGTTTTGTGTTAACAATGTTTTTAATGAAAATTCCAGGAACTTCAGAAAAAGATATTAAAGCAATTCTGTCTAAGCAAGATCAGAGCAGTTTGACAGGACTCCTTTATGGACCTGCAACAAAAGCTGCAGTACTTTTCTGCCTGTGATTTAAGGAGTCTCAAAGAAGTATATGATGAAAACAGAAAGAAAAAGGGCAGGTGAGTATCTGCCACTACACAGACATACACTCTTCCTGGGGAAGGTTCCTGGACCTCTCTGTTTATAATCTCAATTATCTTTTGGGGATCTTAACACAGGCAGAATGGAGATGTGGAAGATGTCCTAAAGACTTCACTCTACCTTGCATTGCCAGGCAGTACAGAGGAGACATCTTTTTTCAGCTGATCAGATTTGCAAATGCCTATGCAGCATAAGTACCTGAGCCACAAACCTTACCATAAATAGAAACAGCTGCTAGGTTAAGAGTGCAATTATCTGACTTGTGCATACAAATGTTTGCCTAAAGAATGTAAAAACAAAAGTTCTGGATATATTTGCACAATTGAATAGTTGCATGGACTTCGGAAAAGTAGGGTATGACTAGACTAACTTTGTGGTAAGAGAATTATTTTACACAGGCAGACATTATACCTTTCTATGCCACATGCCGTTTCATTAGCTGGGCAGAGATTGATACCAGTGTAAAGTTATCCTGATCTCTTGTAAAATTAGCTACTGTGCTGTCTTCATGAGGGACCACATACTGAGTTCCAAATCTGTCCAAGAGTATTTTCTGCTTTGCAGATGGTCATACTGTGGAGTCATTTTCTTGGCACAAAATATGTTGTGTGTTTTGAAATATAAATTCAGCATGCAAATATATTGAGAGAAAAATTACCAGTATGCATTTTCTCAGCCTGACCTATTCTACCTGAAATTGACTTGACATCTCTCTGAGAAAGAAAAAAAGACATTTTGCATTTATATTTTTTTCCATTAAAAGGCTAATGCCCTGATATTTCTCATACTTTTAGTCATGTTTTACTCTGGCAGTTATGTAAAGTAGCCCACTCAGGAAGCTCAAATCTGTTCTTCTATGAAACACTGTCACATGAAAATACCCTCCCTTCCTGTGGTTTCAATGATTTATTTTATTTTATTTTATGACTGGGATGCTGGGCTTTATTGTTGCTGGTTTTAATTAATATGATTTAATTGGTTAAAAAATACAGAACTCTAAAAGTCATATTTCAGGGAAATGACAGCACATGAAAATTGTGTGGATTTTTTTCAACATATTTGGAAAAAGAATAGCAATCTCAAGTATTTAGACTAGGTACTCTGACTAATTTTATTAGTCTGAAATATTTTGTATGGCTAGATTAAAAAACTACTAATATTCTTTCATTAATATCCATTAGCATCTGATAGTTCCCAAGTTTTTCTTTGCCACCTCCAAAGGTTAGGACTTCAGAAATTTAAAAATAGACATCAAAAGATGGACTTTTTTAATGTAAGCATGACACATCTTGGAGAGATATAAATGAAGCTCCTAGTTATTTCTTAACAGTTTTATATTCCTGCCTTTTTTTTTTTTTTAAATAATTTATAAATCATTACCAACTGATGTACCAGAATCTGATGAGGAAAAACAATGTCCATGCTAATATAATAATAAGTTGCTGCTGGAAAACAAAACAAAACCAAACCAAAACCAACACCACACAAAAACAGACAAAAAAAATAATTATTTTAAAATCTGTTTAATGATTGAAATATTACTTGTTTGTATGTGAAACAGGCAAAACAAGTGAATGCTACCTGAACTAGCACAGGGGACATGCACAGGCTCTGGAGACTAGACCAATACATTGCTGCTTACAGAACCTCAAATGCCAACAGGCAAAGAGACAATTGGTGTAAGGCTGAAAGAGCATCTAAGGAGGCAGAGCAGAGAGTGCCAGCAGGAAGGGCAGGGTAAGAACAAAGGGCAGATACACCTCCCCTCCAGGGACCCCCAGATTGTGGGGCCAGGCCTGGTGCCACCGCCCTGACACGTTGCCTGTCCTGAGTGTGCCGGTGATGGGAAGCCTGGCTGATGAGGAAGGCTGCGCTGCCAAGCAGGTTGTGGTTAACTG